GGGTTAATTTAGGATATAAGAGCTAGCTAGAAATATGCAAAAGCTATTAGCCAAGCAGTGTTTTAAATAATATAGCTTCTGTGTGATTATTTTGGGTCTGAGCAGCTGGGAGCGAATGAACGGCCTCTGCCCACACACCTGGACAATCTTCTTTGACTGTAGTTTGTTGTTTTGACACTTCCGTTTGTTAGCCAAGTACACAGCCAGCCCTTCTGAGGTTGTTCTGTTCCACCATTCGTCTGCAGTCCTTAATCTCTAGTGCTTCTTCCTCTGGTCATCCTCTTCTGCGTGCTTGTAAAATTCCTTAGCATATTTTAAAATTATTTCTTAATTTATCTTTTAGCTAACTTCTTTGGGCTTGTTACCAATTACGTAGAGATTACAATGTGTGTCTTACACTTCACTCAGTTAAAATGGTTTTGCTTCATATAAATTGTAAAAACCACAAGATCACATAGATCCACTTACCCCAATCACTTTATGTTAAAATTATCATATGTGCTGGTCGGTGGTGGTGCATGTCTTTAACCCTAGCACTCAGGAGGCAGAGGCAGGTGGGTCTCTGGAAGATCAAGGCCAACCTGATTTGTAGGGTAAGCTTCAGGACAGCCAGGATGTTTACACAGAGAAACTCTGTCTCAAAAAACTAAAAATAAAAAATTCATATGCTTTACATATATGCCTTATAATATAATTTTTGTTTAATCATATATATTTAAATTTTAAAAATGTCTTTATGTTTATCCAGAAATTCACTATTTTAATGACATAACTTTCCTACAGCTTAAAGGACTTAAAACCTTGATTCCCTTTTTAAAAAGATTATTTATGTATATGAGCATTTTGCCTGCATATATTTTGCATTTTTCTCTATGTCTGGCCTCCAGTTTTTCTGAAGGTCATTGTCATCATAGATGTGATATCTACTTGGGGGTTGATCTTCACCAATTGTTCTTTCAATTGGTTACAAGGTTTCTGAGAACCAAATTCAGGTTCTCTGCAAGAGCAGTGTATACTCTTAACCCCAAAGCCTTCTCTCCAACCCCTGTATGTGTTTTTCCAAACCCTGAAATGTCTTGGGAGTCACAGGATACCTCCTCATCTGATAGAGCCTTAAAAGAGAGGCCACGGCTTCTATCCTGCCCTTTTTAATCTGCAGAAATGCAGGAAAGAGTTGGTTTTATTTTCTGCAGTAGGCATGCACATGGGTGCATTCACACCAAAGGAATCGGCTGCAGTGTTTGCTGATAAATGTGTGCAGCCCAAGTCTTTAGATAGCAAACTCAGAATCTAAGGAGTCTAGATATGGCATTACTTTGTCACTGAAGGTATTGCTGGAAGTTCACTTCTGGCCCAGGGGTTGTTTTCTAAAGTTTAATGTTTACTGGTGATGACAATGACAGCCATAGTTGGGTTGGAGGGAGGCCGTTAGTTGGTTCCCTGCTACTCAGCCCCGAAATAATCAAACAGAAACTGTATTATTTAAAACACTGCTTGGCCCATTAGCTCTAATTTCTTATTGGCTAACTCTTATATATTAATTTAACCCATTTCTATTAATCTGTGTATTGCCAGGTGGCTGTGGCTTACTGGCTAAAGTTCTGGCGTCTGTCTCCAGCAGGGTTACATGGCTTCTCTCTGACTCTTGCCTCCTTTTTCCCCAGCATTCAGTTTAGTTTTCCCCCGCCTAGCTCTGTTCCACTATAGCCCTTTTACAGGCCCAAAGAAGTTCCTTTATTAACCAATGGTATTCACAGCATACAGAGGGGAACCCCACATCAATAGTTATGATGGCAATCATGCCATCACCAATGGCCACCGCTCATGGAGGCACGCCATGCATTCATATCATCTCCATCCTCAACGACCCATTTAGCAGATGAAGAAACAGACTTGGTGAACAGATGGTGACTTCTCAAAGCTGAAAGAGCCATGGTTCCATCTCTTGGCTCTATCAGCCTTCCGTATTCCACTGTTCCAAAACACTGGGCCTCAATTACACGGACACCCTTTCATCAGATAGACACGGAAAGGGTGCATAGATGAGCTGATGATAGCACATCATATATAATACGATATGATGGATGGATGCAGAGCTCTTTGGAGCCTTTTAAACATCAGAAGTGGAAAAGAGATTGTTCTATAGCCTGAGTCCCCACGTTCCACCTCCAAGGACAGGCCTGCAAGATAAGTGCTTCTATCTAATGGCCTTCCAGGGAGAGCGGGTTGTTCTGCTTCCCTTCCCCCAATCTCTAGATCTTAGCCGCAGGGCCTGCGTCCCCAGAGCCCAGCTGTGGTACACGGACAAAGTTGAGAAGCTGTCAAGGAGTAGGATTTGAGCTGTGCTCTGCGGTTTGGATGTCAAGTTATTACAGCTGGTGCATTCGGTTGGAGTATTCAGCCAATTGCTACCACAAGACACATTGGTCCTCAAAGACCATCGGGAATGTTGACTTTTCTGGGAGCTCCAAAGTCTGGTTCCTTCTAGATATGACAAACACTAAACACAGTCCCAGAAGAGCTAGCTCATTTCTTGGTAAAGGAGTTGCTAGAGAGTTCTCAGGGCACAGCAATAGCTGGACCACAAGGAAAACAGCAAACCATTTGCAGAATGGAGAAGTATATTCTCAAAAGTGACACCAGGCCAGGGCTGTGGTTCAGCAAGGGGCTTTCACACTGTTTCTCTTGTTGTTTCAGTTTTAGCCTCAGAAGGATGCTCTGCTCCAGCAGGGCTGTGGCTTCACTCTTAGCACAGACTCTAGACCCCGGCATGGATAGAAACAGAGGACCCACCTTAACCAGCCTTGGAATTCCCTCACAGGAGCCCTGTTTCAAGAGAGAAGTGTCTCTCTTTAGAAGCTTCCAGAAAACCGTCTATTGCCCATGATGCCGCTCTTCCTTATTTCTGTCCTTCAGATTGCCATGCACCAAGACTTCAAGATTTAGGATGGATACTGAACCCCAACTTGATGCTTAACACCAATGACGTAGGTGCTGGAACCATCGAAGGGAGCTCTGGGCTGCAGGAGCAAGCAGAGGAGAACTGTCCAGCTCTTGCTAGGTCCATCACTGCACGTGCCAGCATCCCACCTCACGGCCCTGACACTGTCCACCGCACACCTGCCTGTGTCTGATGTGCTGGGCCAGACTATTTCCAGTGATTGCAGATGGAAGCCAGCCCTAGAGGAAGAAGGAATCGGAAACACTCCCTGGAATGTGTTCAGTAAGAGGTTGCTCGTCCCTTGGGCTCCTTTGCATGTGAACCCGCCTGTATCTGCGGGATGTGGTAGCTGGGGGACAAAAAGATATGGTTTGAGGTGTCTCTTACTGTCTTCCCTAACCAAAAAAAAAAAAAAAAAAAAAAAAAAAAAGAGTGCCAATAGTGATGGCCTCACTGGGGAAAACAAGTTGGCTGAAGTTCTTTATTTTGAAAATAAAGAAGCAATGCAGTTCTTCCACATCCAGTATCCTCCTTCCCCTTCTAGCGGGGGCCCCAGGACTAGGAGCAAGCCAGTTTTCAGGGGAAAATGTAGCAGTGATAGAGAGGAGGCTGAATTCCACTTGCCATGAGTCTCTGAATGCATGGGAAGCAGGCAGAGAGAAAAGGGGAGGAAATAATTAAAATTCAGGCTTGCCAGTCTGCTTCCAGGTGCTGTGGGCACAGCCGCCCCGCCATCCTCCCCTTTCCAGCTGGCACCTGCCTGCTGGCCCCACAGTTTCTTTCTGGTACGTGTCTGACAGCCCGTCTCAAAGTCAGGTAGTCACAAACCTGTCAGCAAGTCACCTTCATACTTTGCCCCGCCAGCTGTTTGATGCCTGCCTCCGGGCCACCGCAGGATGTGATTATAGAGATACTTCAGGGTAACTGATGACAAGGAAGGGGTTATCCCGGGGCCTGGGACATCACAGTCTCTGCCAACCGCTGACTCAATCCACCTTGTATTAAGTGGTGCTCTCACAGGGTAGCAACAGCTTCCAGAAGGTTCCAGAGAGTGTGGAATGGGTCTAATTAGATATCTTGGGAGCTTTCTATTTCTAGATTAGAGGTGTCGTATTGCTTATTTTAGGATAATTGTACACATAACGTTCTTCATGAGAAAACGCGTAAAGTGAAATTTTGGCCAACTATCAGAAATATAGAGAGAAGAATCAAGCATTTATTTAACTCATGCTATAGATTCACTAACAGATTTTAAATACCGTGTATGTTTGAAAAGCTAAGGAGATAGTTATGCCAATGAAGTGCTTGCTGGGGAGACATGAAGAGCTGAGCTCAATCCCCAAAACCCATGGAAAAGAGCCAGACATGGTGGCACACGCCTGTGATCTCAGTGCTGGGGAGCTGGAGACCAGTGGACGTCATCTAGAAGTAAGATAGACTCTCTTACTGGCCAGCCAGCCTCACCGGCTGAGCAAACTCCAGACCAGGAAGATAGTCTATCTTACTTCTAGATGAAGAACTACAGGCAATTAAAGACTGCAGAGGGAGGGGCCGCCTGATAGGTTGTCCAGTGGTCAACCTAAAACATAGACATACAACTGGCACTAAATGGACTCAGCATGTTCTATTTATATATTGATGTGTGTGTGTGTGTGTGCGTGTGTGCGTGTGTGTGCACAAAACAATAAAATAGAAAAAGAGGGCAGGAATTTGAGAGGAAGTGGAGGGAAACACAGGAGGGGCTGAAAGGAGGATGGGGCGAGATGACGTAACTACAGTGCACAGATATGAAAGTAAAGAAGATAAATGAAGAAACAGAACAAAACCCATAAGCCGGATAGCGTTGAGTAATGACACCCAAAGTTTTTCTTACCTTTACATGTACGTGCACACATGTGCCGTGTATGTTCATACACAAATGTGTACCTGCATGCATACATATACACACACAATAAAATAAAATAAAACTTATGTTTGGAAACCACGAATTTTGCCGCATATGCTCTTTGAAGTCCCAGTGTCATTGTTACTGCTCTGTCCCTTTAGATCAGTGGTTCTCATCCTGTGAACTGAGACCCCTTTGTGGGTTGGACGACCCTTCACAGGAGCCAGCTAAGACCATCAGGAAATGCAGGTATTTATATTACAATCCATAACAGCAGCAGAATCACACGTATGAAGTAGCACTAGATTTTTGTTCCAGTTTGTTCCCAAATACCCCATTGTAGCCCCGGAGGAATCACTTAAGATGCAGGGACCCTGCGTGGGGGACGTAGTCCAGGAAGGATGGGCCATACAAAGCTGCTGGCAGAGCCTTTGATTACCTGTGTCTTGCACTGGTCTCTTCAGTGTGAATCTGCTTTGCTCACTGTATCTTATAAACAATCTTCAGAAGCTGGAGGATCACGCTCTATGTTGGAAGTACCCATCTGGGTGTTATTGTTCCTTTGTCTCCTGGGGGCGACCCTCTCAGCATCTAGAACAAGTGCTGTTTGAGGATATTGTAGCCTGTGGTTCTTTCTCAAGATAGAACTTTGTGGTTCATAATAAGTTGTTCAGAAACACTGAGCAAATAGTGCCTTGTAATACGAGAAGCTGGGTGAGGATTGGACTCTAACAGGACTTCGCTTTGATAGTAAGACTTGAGGAGCAAAAACAAACCATGCCTTCGGTTGGGGGAGATTGCAAAGGTGTTGGGGTAACAGGATAATGTACTGATACGTTCACTGTGACATGCAGCCAGAGACTTAGTGAGCCTGGGCCTCCAAAACTCTATGCCCAGGCATGCCTGTGCCATGGGGGCTGGCAGGCTTGCTCCTCCAGGCAGGGATTCTGCATGCAGAGTGGATAGCTTGTTGGTTGCCCAAAATCTGAAAAGCTGTGGACCGCATGGCTGAGTTTCAGCCCCAGGTCTCCTGACTCAAAACCTCTTCCCAGGACTTGCCCTTCCCCCTAAATATATGTGCCCCAAATTGTCACCAGATCTCAGGAAAGCACCAGCTCTGTCTGGGATAAACACCAGCCTCACAGCACACCCGGTTATTACCAGATCGCTGATTCTCGTCTAGGTCTTGTGGCTTCTTGGGTTTTTCTCTGGTGTTTCTCCCCCAAATCTCTCTCCCTTCCCTCTGATTACACATATGTAAACAGTCAGCATGGTGGCCCACAAGCTGCAATCTTGGCTGGTCATCAGGTGCAGTCAGTTACCCCTCAGGCCCTTGCCAGAGGCCATCCCCAGCTGCTTCAGCTGCCTGCAGCTCTGTTCTCTTCCGCTTCGAGGACTGTAGAAGGATCTCTCAGAGGGTCCTGAGGGAGGAGACTTGAGGTTCTTCCCTGGGGCAAACAAGGGCTGGGTGGATGACATAATCCCCTTTAAATCTTAGAAAAACAGCCCTGTGGCTCTTGGCTCTCTTGGGCTCTCATTTGGGTTGCCTCACGACACTGGGCAGGAGGCCAGGGAACCCAAGCCCAGCCCAGAGACTCCAACTCTCCAGGGAGCTCTAGCCTGGGCTGTCTGGTGTGGCCTGTTTCTTTCGCACAAAAGCCAGTGCGTCCACAGAACCTCACCCTGAGACTGACTGGTCAGGGCTCTCCTGCCCCTCCCGCTGTGCCCCCTCCCCACGAGCCTGCATCCCATACTGATGTCCATTTCTCATTTATTTTGACACACAGCTAGATGCGACCTCCTGACATCAGAGAGAGTATAAGTTCTGTCCTGGCCTCAGAAAAAGAAGGTGGGAGGTCAAATACTTATTGATCTGCCTCATGTTGAGGAAAAGTCAACTACTTTGAAGACAGATGACTTCAGACAAAACACTAAAGGATGGTGAACTAACAAAAATCCTGAGGAAGGAGAAAAAAAAATCTCAAAATCCATCAGGAGTGAAGAAGATAAACAGCACACTGTGTCTGTCACCAGTGGGACACTAGTGAGCCATCAGGACTACACTCCAGAGCAAGGTAAATCTAAGACACCGTGACCATTGCATGAGTTACTCACCATTACCAAAATGTCCAAGGCCAACAACATATGGGAAGAAAGATTTGTTTGGGCTCATGGTTTCTGAGGGCTCCAGTCCATCAATATGGATGAGGTATGGTTCAGTTACTGGTGCCGGGAGTTTGTGGAAGTGGTGTTCACATTGCAGCAGATCAGAGCAAGAGAGTGGAGAGGGGGAAAGGACTGGGGGAGGGAAGGAGGGAGAAAAGAGTGGGGCGAGAAGAAGTTGAGAAGAGGGAGAAAGAAAAAGAACTGGAGGGAGGGAGGAAAGAAGACAGAGAGGGGGAGTGGAGAAACCAGGGTCTGGGCCACACGCTTCAAACACTTGCCCTAGCCAGTTACTTCCCACCTCTTGAAAGTTCCAGAACCTCCCCAAACAGCACCACCAGCTGGCGACAGGTATCCCACACACCACACTTGACCCTGTGGGGGACAGTGTGCAATCAGACCATAAAGAGCATCTGTGCAGACTTCTAGAACAGGCAAAAATAACCTTGACTGATAAGACTCAGTAGTAGGGCTACAGGAATTTGCAGAGAGACTCAGATTCAGGGGTGGGAAGATTACTTGGGCCAGGGTGGTCCTTGAGGGAGCAGCAAACTCCTAGGGCAAGCAAGACAGGATTTGACTGGGAAAGGAGCATGTTTGGATATTGGTAAGGGGGGCAGTGGTGAACTACCAAGGTCCTCCTGGAGGCTGTGTCCCAAAAGGCAGTAGCCCAGGGTGGGTGTGTCGTTCCTGTGGAAAGATGCAGGACCTCAAAAAACTGTCTAGATTGGTTATTCCTGGGGATATAAATGCTTTCCCAACAACAGATCAATACTGGATGTGAGAGAGGTCCAGAGCAAGAATCAAGAATCAAATATTCAGGGAATTCCATTTTGATCATTTGCCAGCTACATTTGGAAACTCAAAAGATAATATAATGCAGAGAAAGAGAGTAAAAGGGAATTGGTCCAGTCTGAGAATTGTGGGAAGATACAGGTGTCACTCAGAAAGGATGAGCCCAGTGGCAGACAATGTGCTTTTATGACTAAAGTCCTGGAAAGAGAGTGAAAAATGTAGGCAACAGGAAAAAATGTACATAGGCTTTGGAGAGAAAAGAAAAATTCATAGAAAAATAGCTTAAAAATAATAACGTTTTAAAAGAAAGGATAAAACAATATAAAGGAAAAGCCATTTAAAGGTGAAAAATAAATGAGAAATCTGGATCCTGTATGTTATTGTATTGTCTTTGAATTTTTTGATTGCTGACGAACAAGCAATAAGAGACACTGGATTGTGAAGGCTGCTGTATAAAACCAACCTATATATTTTAAAAATGTCTTGACTTCAAAATGGAAGTCAAAAGATATTTTGCTTTGGGTAAGAGGTTATCCTTTTATTTCCACAGAAAATGAAAGGCCCTGGTTTTGTTCAGAGCGGAAGATGATCAAGTTTGATTGAGGAAGACCCCCTAAAAACCTTGGTTATAGACATAAAGAAATGACCTAGAAAAACTACAAAATGTTTAATATATACTTAACCAACTGAAATATAAAACAAAAAAAAGTTATCTTTGGCTAACTTGTGTACACCACACAGACTATACTTATATTAATACAGATATGTATGTTATATTTGAAAGTTTATGTATTTTCAGAGCAAGGGGACAAGGCACTAATAAAAATAGATGGCCCAGGTGACCCAGCCTCTCAGAGTGCCTCTGTTGCAGTTTCCTCAGAGTTCTGCATCCAACACAGCTTCAAGGCTCCTGGCCAACATTGTCTAGCCTCTAAGACTACTCCAGCCAGGATTTGACTATAATCTTGATTTTTCTTAGGATCCCTCAAAGATTCCAACATCCCCAGACAACAAGAAGCAATCTAGAGAAAAGAATGCCCACATTTCCAAAAGATAGGGTTATGGATGTTTGTCATCATTTAAGGAGAGTTGGTTATAAGTTATTATTGGTCATCATTAGGAAAAAGCTAAATTTGAAGATCTCTTTCTAAAGAAAAAAGGGGGATATAATATAGAAATTATGAGATGAAAGGGTAGATTATTGAATCACTAATCCAAAAAACAGCTATTAATCTCAAAATATTTTACATGGGTATGGATTTCAGTTGATACAAATTTAAAGTTATTTCTGTTATACTATACGTGTGTTTTACTCTTGTTTGGAGTATTGTGTTTATGTAGTTTATTTAAAAATGTAAGGTATAACTAAGAAATACAAGTTAGTAATCTGTAATAATCAAATTTGTAGTCACGTTAGGTATGTTTGTGAGGTCAAACAATATATTTAGATAGATAGATGGTCTTCAAATACTTCAAAGATCTACAAAATATGGTGTTTAACCTGAGACTTTTCATGACCATGAGACATGTCTGCTCCTGGCATCACCAATTTACTTCAGAGAAGATGATAGGCATCAAAGAAGTTCCATATGGTGTTTTCATTCTTTGTGGCAAAAGCTAGCACCTGGACAAAGAAACTGCCCTTGTCTCAATTCCTGACAGTATACTGTCCAAGGTGGACCATTAGGATACAAAAGAAAGCAGCTGCCAAACTTTGCCAAGACTAGGTAGGACAGTTCTCCAAAATTCCTTGCTTCTCAGAAATGTCTGCCAGATGTATTAGACCTGTAGGCAAAAGATGGATGCCCAATGTTGCAGAGGAACTTTGGGTGACTGTACAAGCAGCCAGATGTCCCTGTCATTAGGTAATATTACATCCTTCTGGGGATCTTTGATGGCGTTAAAGACCAAATAGTTAGACATAGTTTTCCTTAGTTATGATAAAAAGTAAATTAGGTATAAAACTTTAGACTCACAAACATGAGATAGATAATAAAGTATTTTCTCTAAATTTGCCAAATACAAATGGATTGGATATTGTAACTGTATTTCTTCTATGTAATTTTACTATGTTAAAGTTAAAACCTTTTTTTACTTAGACAAAAGGGGGAAATTCTGTGGAACAATCTTTTTGAACACCATGAATACTTGTTGCTCTCACTGGTTTAAAAGAGGTCTAAAAGACCAATAGCTAGGCAGATACAGGTTAGGCGGGGCTTGTAGACAAAAAAGAGAGCATAGGGATGAAAAAGGACCAAGTCACCAGCCAGATGCAGAGGAAGTAGGAGGTGATCATGTCATGCTGAGAAAAGGTCCCACCCCGTGGTAGTGTAGAGATAAGAAATATGGATTAATTTAACTTGAAAGAGCTAGCTAGTAATAAGCCTAAGCTATCAGCTAAGCATTCATAAGTCTCTGTGTGATTATCTGGGAGTTGGCTGGTGTGACAGAAAAGTCCACCTGCACTCATGCTACCCCTTTATAATCACACTCACTTCCCCTCCAGTCTCTAGCCCCTCATTCATTATTCTGTTTCCAGCTCTATCATTTTGTAATATTACTTTTTCAGACAGAATTGCACAATATGCAACTCTTTGAGACTGGCTTTCTTCACTCACTAAAATGTCCTTTAGACTCACACATTTTGTACTTATTAGTAACACGTTTCCCTTCCATTACTAAATAGCATTTTTTCCTGGTTAGCTTTAACCACCAACTTAATGCAATCTAAAAAGATTTGGGGAAAAAAAAATCTCCATTGAGGAATTGCCTAGACGAGATTGGTTTGTAGGATATTTTGGATTGCTAATTGATGTAGGAAGGCTAGTCTACTGTGGGTGGCACCATGCCCTGGGCAGGTGGTCCTGAACTTTATGAGAAAATTAGCTACGAATAAACCTGCTGCCAGCCAACAAGCAGCATCTTCCTCAATTTCTGCCATATTTCTGTGCTATGTGGAAGAACAAGCAGGCCTCTCTTCAAGCCTTGGCTTCTTTCACTGATGTGCTGTGATCTGTAGTTATAAGCTGAAACAAACCCCTGATGTGCCTGTTGTCTTAGTCATTTGCTAAACCAACAGAAATATAAACAGCATAGTATTCCATGGTATAGATACACCACAGTTGTTTAGCCATCCTCCTATGGTAGAACATTGTGGGTATTTCTAGATTTTAATTATTACACCTAAAATTTCTAAGCAGAAACATATATAAGCTTTTTGCACACATATTTCCATTTTTCTGGAGCAAATGCCCAAGGATGTAATCATTAAGCCACGTGAAAAGTGCATTCTTAAAGTGACAGTTCGAATGCTCATGTCTCTCGCCTTCCAGTTTATGTATTGGAACTAATCTTTTATGTGATGGAGTTTGAAGGCAAGATGTTTGAGAAGTAATTTGGGAATATGCAAAAGGGGGAGGTGCTACGGGAGCACCTTCTGCTCCTTCAGCCAATAGCCATTGAGGTACCAGCCCACTGGGGCATGGTCACTTTCTCTCTTTCTCTTTAAAAAGCAGCAGCAACCCCCCCCCCCCTCTCTCTCTCTCTCTCTCTCTCTCTCTCTCTCTCTCTCCTTTCCTAGCTGTCATGTAGGATGGTGTTCTGTAAGTTTTTCCCCCTCAAATAAATAACCCTTTAAATCCAAACTGGTATGGGATTGTTTCGCGCTTTACTTCCTGGCCTCTATGACTAACTAGTGGCTTCTCCACACTCTGATCTTCAGGCATGCTTTATATATTACAGCACAAACAAATCACCACACTTTAATTTCTGTCTTTAAGAGGTGGTGGTGGGAAATAGCCCACCATTCCTCTCCTTACGTTTTTGCTGTAAGACATTCCTTGGTGGCGTCTTTGTGTTTTTTTTTTTGTGTGTGTAATTTTAATTGGATTGTTTAGTTCTCCATTAATAAGATCTGGTGGTTCTTCACCAGTTAGACGTATTAGATATTTGAAACTCATTCCTCTTGATCTATGCTTTCTTGTCTTCTTAAAATCAAGGGCAAATGTTTTCAAGTTTTGTAAAATCTTGTTTATCAATTTTTATTTTTTGAAACATGTGTTTGGCCTCAGGTCTAGCCCTATACCCTGCATATTTTCTTTTGCTGTTTTTTAAAACA